GTGTATTATAATGGTATTAGTAAATAAAAGATTTTAATACCAAATATTTTTACAAAAATATTTTACCTAGGATCATTTTAAAATGAATAGCAAGAAATATAGCTGTATAACCTATTTAGTATTAATATATAGTATTTACTTTACATATACTAATAAAGCAATATGTTTTTAATTAAAATAAAATTGGAATCTATAAATATCCAATCTTACAAAATAATTCAAAAACGTATCGTGTTTAAAAAAAAAAGTAACACTTTTACCACTAAAATAAAATATTATTCTTATTTTGTTCAGACAGGTACTAAAAAAACATTGAATAACATTTATAATAATAATTAAGTAACTAATTAATTTACAAAACATTTTTTTTAGAATATTTTTTCAAAACTCCAAAATAAAACAATCATAAATGTTCTACCTTCAATATATCATATTACTTTAAATAAAAAATACATAAATCATGTAAACTCATCGAGCACTGACTCATTGAATAATAAAATAGTGTAACATTTTATGTAATGGGTATTTAAGAATTTAATTTCAGTCAAATTCTAGTGATTAAAAATGTATAAATGTATAATATGTCATGCATACATGTTAAATACATACATATACTTAAATTAGAAATATAACATAAATGTTAAATTAGTCAATAAAAAATTAATAATTTTTTTTTTTTATATTAATACGTATAAACCACAAAAACGTGCGGTATCATAATTTATTATATCACTTCTATAAATTTGTGAATTTATTCTTGGGTAATCTTTATTGTTCTATATCTAATTAATTCTTTGAAAATTTGATAATATTTAAATATTGATTATGTTAATACTATCTATATCATTATTAAATATTTTACTAATTTTAGGAATAACCATGTTAAATGTGAAAAAAAATTAGTTATGATTGAAAATTGTAGTTGAATTTTAAGATACAAATCTATAGATATATTGTGAAATAAATAGCATGCGAATCTATGTGTTGAATTTTGTTTGTATCTTGATTATTATGATACATTTTTAACATTTTTAATCTGACCATAAATGTAAAGACAATAAGAAATATTTTGACAATCTATTATTTATTGTTTAAATTCGTGTACAAATAATTTTAATCTTTTCATTGATAATACACTTATTTTATATACCAAGATATTATTTTGTTAAATGTCGTGGTTGATAATTTTCTATTGATTAAACAAAATTAAAATAGTAAAATTGATAAAACTCGTATTGTTTTTTTAGGTGTATAATTTTTTATTTTTTATTATAAATTAAAATAATAAAAAAAGATGTTTATTTAAAAACATACTTTTGTATATTACAGGTGTTATTCATAAAAATATTTTAAATAGAGCATCAAAATATTTTTACATTTATAACTTTAATGCTGTTCAAAATCAGCAATTGTAATTACAATTAATAAAAGTAGAAAATTTTCAAAAGTTTTTACCAAAATCATTGAAAATAAAATATATGATGCAAATTTAATAATACAATCCCATATCATATATCTAACTATATTATTTTAATGCAATCATTCGTATTTTAGTTCAACTCTCTTTTACTGAAAGAATACATCCAAATGATCAGAATTAACTATACAAGTTCAATATTCCTCATGACTTATGTTAACTTCTAAAAAAATATAAATCTCAAATATTCAACTTAGCGTATAAATTTCTTCACTTAAAAAATGTAGGTATATTAAAATTTTCAAACCAACAACGATATTTGACTAATAACAATTTTATAATTGTCTTGGTTTTGTATCTTATTTAAATTTTACAATTATATTTTATATTAATACATCAATTTGTAATAACTTGTTGTTTATGCATACCTACATAATAAAATAACATAATAATCATAATACTTTGTGTAGATCATAAAATTAAATTTTAAAATAATATTTATTGAAGTTAAAAAATAATAACTACACTTTATGTATGACGTATTAAAAAAATACATTTTTGATTAATCCACTTGAAGATATAGAAGCTTACTTTATTTGTTTGATAATTCATAGATAATGATATTATAGTAATACTATTAACTAAATGTTAACACTACTTTTTATAGTAGTCTTGTTTTAGATAAGCAAAAGGTTAACGTATTTTTTATTTTAACTTCGTTATTAATTTAATATAATTTTATGTCTTAGTAATATATTATTATAGGGTCATAACTCATTAGACGTAAATCTTTTTTTCTGATAAAGCTTTGATTTTTTGTTGTTAAAACTATAAAAATTAAATACTTATAGAAATAAAGCATAATAAAAAACAACATTATATACAACGAACAATTTAATTATTATTAAAGTAGTTACACTTAATAGTTTTATACTTAATTTAAGTTATTTTAACGTAAAATATAATAACATAATATACTGTCCTATTTGTACTTACTGATATAGTAAATAATTTTATTTGTATAAAACCATATTTTCTTTGAAAAAAATAATAGACAATATTATGTATTACTTCAATATATATATATATATATATATATATATATATATCTGTGTGTGTGTGTGTGTGTGTGTGTGTGTGTGTGTGTGTGTGTGTATAATATATTATTTAAACTATTATGATTTTTATTACTGTAATTGGAATAAGTAATATAATTTTGAATAGTATTATTGTAATTAAAAATCAATCTGTAATATCGATACCAAACCCAATCAATTATTATATATAAATTTATAAAAAATTTTTAAACCAAATAAGTTCCAAGTCAAAACACAATATTATTTCATTTATTTATGTATAATTAATGTATATACATTAAACAATATTTATTTGAATAATAATCATTTTATTTAAAAAATAAATTAATCAATGTAAATTTTATTTATTTATCAATACATAATGACTAACATTAACATTAAAAAAATTGAAAAGCGTATTGAAGGTTTTAACAAATTTTAATTTTCTTTTTTGTGAGTAAGAAAAGTAAAAGTTTTTCATAACAATATGTAAGCTATAATATTATCTTTATATATGTTTAATATACAATAATATATCAATATTAATCATGAAAATGAGATAAACTCTATTTATTAAGTTTGAATATTAAATATCTAATCATTATTTATTAGAGGTAGCAAAGTTTTTAATTAAATAATAAACATATTATTTTAGGAATAATATATTGAACATTTCATCAGATTACTTAATATTGGTAGGATTATGAAAGGTCCGTTATTATAGATTTTTTCGAAGTTCATTCTAGTTCGTAGTTATGATGTTGGAATGAAGGACGCGTGTTACATTGGTTTGTAAAAGCATTATAAAAGAATCAGACAAAAATAAGGCGTATAGGATAGGCAACATAAATTTGATTTTCTATTATTACTGATTTAGTGGTACCTACTATGCAATAATTTATTAGAATGTTTATCAAAAATAAAATACTTTTATTGAGATTAAAATTTCTTTTATTAAATTAATGAATTTGAATTAGATTTATATACAATTTAATTTAATTAATTTTTAAAATTTATATTTCGATTAAAATAATAAGTAATATATTTAAAAAACGTTAATGGATTTCGAAATAATTAGTATTGTTCGATAAAAGAATCACTAAGTATACATATATATATATAAGTAATAATAATGTTAAGAAATTATCTAAAATCCTAGTTCAAAAATTGTTTAAGTAATAATTTAATTGAAATATTTAAGAATATAATAATATATTATTACAATCTTTAAAGCTAATATTTCAAATTAATATTTTTAAGTTATAAATGAAGAAATACATTTTTATATAAACAGTACAAATTACAATAAAGCAATATTATTTTAATAAACATATTATTTTTTTAAGAAACTACTTTGTATTATAAACTTAATAAATACAGAATAAATAAATAATATTTAACACAAATTATTAAAAAGTTCTTCTAGATAGTGATGAAGATAAAATGAATATAATTAGTACGTTTACATAAACTATTATTACTTATTTATAAAAGTATTAATTTATGTATTTTAATACAATCAAAGTTTTTAACTCGTTACTAAAAACTGTAAGCTTAATCATATTTTATACGATATAAATCATAAAATCATTAGTATACTATTAGGGGCTATATACTTATTATAACTTCGGAGGTTTTTAGTCAAAAATATAAAATCGATTGTTATAGATTATGTTGAATCTTTTATTTTAACCATTGATTATTTGCACAGGTAAACTATCAAGAACAAATAAGTACCTATAATTTTTTTGGGGATAATATAGGAAACAAAAACACGTTTTATTAATTAGTTAATAATACAATTTAACTATAATAAAAACAAAAATATATTTTTTAATTATATTTATGATTATAGTTTAATAATATAAAGTTTCAGCTATAAAAAACATTAGAAAATTTAAATTGCATTATTATTTAAAATTAAAATCCATTAATACAATAAAAACTAATAATAAAATTAATAAGGTCTTATTTATTTATTATTTATATTTTAATATTTTGTAATAAAATAATAATTTTCTAATGTAAGTAGATCTATAACAATTTATTCAGGTATTAAAAAAAAATAATTAAAATTATTTTAAACAGCTTTTAATCACTGTCGTTGAAACTTGGGATAAAATAAAAATAGACCAATTTACAACAATTGTGGTTCGATCTATATTTTTTTTTAAATTTAGGTAATGTGATTTTATTTTTGTTATTATTGTTGATAATATTACATCAAAAGTATTCATTTTTAAAGTATGTATATTATACATTGTATAAATATAAAATATAATCACGATCATAAATATGAATCTTATTATATCTCACTGCCAAGTCATTAAGCATACTTACATTTTGAATAGGTCGAGTAAAAATTAAATATTTTATTTTATTGCGCAGCACATTCTTTAGAAAGATTACAATGTTTACACACAATATACTTTTAATATTTTAAAATTATATTTACCAATGTAATTTATAAACATTTCCACAGTATATAATTATTATAACATCAGCATTAATACAAAAATCAACATAAGTACCTACCAACTATAATATATGTATTTAAACAATTGTTTATCCTTTCCTTGTAGTTCGATCAACTAATGAATAATGAGTACATTCATATGAGCGTGGTTACTTCAGTCATATATCGTTTTGTCTAGTATTCACGTTATATGTACAATACACAATACACAATATGATAATATGTGTATGCTAAAATCAAAATATATTTTATGCCTAACATTCGTAAAAATAGTTAAAATTTGTAAATATTTATGCACCTTTAACAATGTGTAATAAAGTTATAGCATTACCATTGATCATGTATAACTCATATTAAATAAATTTTTTAAAAAAAATGTATTATTTCGAAAATTTGACTAATATTTGATAGTTTATAACTTAAGTAAAAAATTATATTATAAATAATATAATATTATATTAGAATTACTATTATTACAAATTATAATTAATTATGGTAGGTCACAATTTTATGACAAATTGTTAATTCGGATCTCTACAAGGACTTGTTCAGCTAAGACCATAATTTTCTTAAAAAATAAAAAAATTAAGAAAACAAATTTAAATTACTATATTTTTTATTTAGTTTCTGCTTATTGAATTAAAAAAAACCTACTTAATGAACATTATTAATTATACGATTACTGGTTGATCGCATCATTCGCATCTAGCAAATAATTATTATATGATAATTTAGTAAAAACATAATTTATGATTATCTAAAAGAAATTTTTTTTTAATACATAAACTACTTTAATTGTCAATTTGTATGAACATAAAAATAAAATTCTAACAAGTTCGAACATAACATATATGATTGTCTCTAACCTATAACCTAACCTAACCATATCACATGAATATCATTTATGTAGCTTTAAAATTTACTGATGATTTCTGTAGAATTATTTTTTTTTTTTAGGACACTGATAATATTGCTAATAATAATATAATATATGTGCAAGAAGTCATACATTTTCATAACTTGTTGAACTCAATTGATTTATAATAAATCAGTATATGATTGTCGGACTGTGACCAGTTATACATTAAAATAAAATGTGTATTATTTATACGTATGATTTAAGTTGAACATTTTGTTAACATTAAGTTTAACAACATTTCTTTTAAATTAGATTTAATAGTTTTAATATTGGTTCATTTTTAAGTAATTGTTTTCAAAATAAATTCACGTAATTTTTGATGACTTATTCAAACATAAACTTAAAATGATGATATTAAAATATATTGTATAATCATATAATCGTAGAAACTTAAAACAAACGATAATTATATTACATCCCTTACACTTGTTAGATATTATAGTCATTTTACGTGTTAAATTTGGGGAAAAGGTTAGAAATATATTTCACTACCCTTATTTAGAATAAATAAATATTCTAACACGAACTTAATAGTACAAAAATAAACACTAACCCGATTTCCAAGACTTCTGGATGAAGATCCTCTAACATAAATGGGCACGTCCATATCAGTGGTAGATGAAGCAAATGACGCATCACCCGGCCTGCTCGGCACTTGGAGCAGCTTGACGGCCTGCGCCGCCAATTCCCTGTTGCCATGCAATTGTAGTGGATGATCCTCCTCAATGAAGCCCACGCTGTCAGGAGACCCTTCTTCATCTTCATCGTCGTAATACAGCATTGTAGGCCGTGACATTCTAGTACATACAAAAACAACCACGCTGGTCGTCAAAATCAATAAATTTTAATAATATTT